ACAATTAATTACTCAAAGTTTTTCAAAATTGATTTAATAGTAAAATTTTAAAATTTTTTCAACATAAATTAAATTATGAATTTCTTGAAAAGAAAAAAATAATAACAAAATATTTTGTATTAAAATAGTTTCAATAAATATGAATAAAGTATCATAAAATTTTATATTTATTAATAATAAATTTAATCACATTTTGAGATTTTATTTTAAATGATAATTCATTTTTATAATTACATTGTTATCATTAAAAATTTGATAACATGAAAATTAATATATTTTTTATTCCATAAATAATTATATACGATAAGTTATGCAATAAAATATAAATATTTTTTAAGTACATGTAAATAACACTTGCAAATTTAATTAATGTTCACATATTTAATTTTCATAATTTAAAAAAATTATGATTATATTAACATTAATTAATTTTATTATAATTTTGTAATCAATTAACTATAATAAAACAATTATATAAGAATTTATCCCTTATAAATATGAATTTTATTTAATTTTAAGTAATTAATTGTATTGTAATAATTGTAAAAGATTTACTTTTTTTTTTTAAATAGTTATCCTCCATGTTGTCTGACTGTGGTGTGAACTATTGATGCATGAAAGTTTTTAGTAATGCAATAGCTTTATGTTTAAATGGGATATAACATTTTATGATCATATTAACAAACTAATAATGTATTAAAATTTGTAAATATGATATAATGAGATATGTAGTAATCCTTTAACTTTTTAAGAATAAATACAAGATAGAATGTTATTAAAAAAAATAAATACAATGTATATTTTTATGATCAAATTGGGTTATTGTAATAAATCATACACAATTTCAATCAAAATCCACTTGAATGGTATTTTTTGAATCGGGAATACTTTTTTGGATAAAAGGAAAAGGAATATATATCGGAATTGAAAACCGATCAGAATATATACCCATTCTATTTGGCTCACGAATTAATTATTCCTAGTTTTATATCCACCATCGTCACCCTTTTAATAAAATATATATACAAATTATGTTTGATATAATATCAGTCTCGATTTCATATTCGAATTCGATCGTATCCAAACTTATTATCCATTCAAGATAATTGTAAAAAATTCTCTTGTCCGTATTCATTTAAATCAAAAGGCTTGTTAACACCTAAACATAATATATATTTTTATGATCCAATTGGATTATTGCAATCAATAGTACACAATTAAAATTAACTATTAAGTATCCAAACTTTCGTTCCTTCCTTAGTTTGATACATTAGACTAATATCATTACTTAAGTTACTGACATGATAACATTTGTCAAAAAGTTTAATTATCATTACATCATCATAAATCAGCATTAGAAAAAAAATAAACAAAATTTTAAAAATGGAAAAAATGGAAGAAATTAAGAAAAAATCTAAGAAATTAAAAAAATTCAATTTCTTTTGAAAAATTAATAAATTGAAAATTGTGGAAAATCCAAAAAACCAAAAACTTTAAAAAAATCCCAAAAATTAAAAAATTTTAAAAATTGAAATAGGAAAAAATGATCAATTAAAATTCAAGAAAAATGCAACAAAAAATTCAAAAAACTGAAAAAAATAAAAATAGTAAAATTTTTTGAAAAAAAAACATATATTTAAAAAATCTAAGAAAAATATAAAAAATTAAAAAAATCCAAAGAATTTAAAATATATATATATATGAAAAAATCCCACAAAATCAAATTTTTTAAAAAAATTCAAACAAAATTGAAAAAAGAAAAAAAATTAAAAATTTAAAAAATCTAAAAAAAGAAAAATCCTACAATGCCAAACTTTATTTTTTATTTTTATATATTGATATTTTTGGATATTTCTTTTTCATATTTTAAAATTCTTTTTTTTATTTTTGATTTTTTAAATTTTTGTGAAAAATTTAAACTTTTTGTTTTTTTTTTAATTTTTTAATATTGACTTATCAGACCCACGTGCCAACCCATTTTCTGACCTGACCCATACGCAAAGTTTTTATTTGTTATTTTTTAATTTTGATTTTCTTTTGATTTTGATTTTTTATTATTTTAATTGTTATTTGAATTAAAAAAGGATGAGTAAAAGAAAAGAAAAAACCTTTGATGTGGTTTTTTATAATTTGCATTTTTTTAGGATGTTTTATTGCATGATTTTTTTATATTTGTGTGAATTATTACCTAATATTTTATTTACATAATTATGATTTAATATTATTGCATGATTTTTTATGATATTTTTGCATGACACTTATGGTATGATTTATTAATATTTGCATGATTGAAGGATATTTTTGGAAGACATTTTATGTTATTGCAAGATTTTTTTATTGCATGATATTTTTGTATGATTTATTATATATATTTGCATAATGTTTGATATTTTCTATGAGATTTTTTATAAAATTTTATATGATAATATTGTGTAAATAAATAAAAAATGGATTTGAAGCTAATTAAAATAAGAATAAAACTATTTTTGATTAAAGTTTAAATAAGATAATATTTAATTATTTAGTATCAATTTTGAAGGTGATGGTGCTAATTTTTTTTACACGTAATTAACTTTCAAATTTAATTTTGATGATTTTGAAAACTTAGTTTTATCTGTGGTAGATAAAATTTATTTTTTTAAGAACTCTTAATTTATAATTATGATAACTTTTAAAAAATAAAATTATACAAATGGTCAACTTATGTTTTTATGTCTAATGAGTAAATTTTAAAATTTGAATATTATAACATTATTAGAAAAAATAAACCTATTTCGATTATTTTTAAGAGATTAATTAATTTCATTTTTTAAATTTCAAAATCAGAAGAATTAACTACTCACCTCTAAACAAATGTAATACTTACTCTGATAATGGGTCGTTTGTCCTTCCTTAAAATAGCACAAAAAACAAAAATAAATAATAAGAGAATTGGATGTTGTCGCTGCACAACGTGGAAATCCCTATGCTTCTTTTTTTTTTTTTTCACTTAAAATTTCGTTTTTTTGAAACTATATTTTTGAAGTCAAACCTTTTTTTAACGAAAGTTTAACTGCCACGTAAAGCATTCGCAACCTGCCACGTAGAATCATTGACAGTTAACTCGCTATCTTAATCAAAATTAATTAATAATTAATTATATTCTTTTCTAGGTGCGGATCACCTGAAAAAGTCGGCCCCAGGGTCATCAATTGTAAGAACAGTAACAGCCACCGACACGTCATTGATTTTGACGGTGTGTCTACGTTGGTGATGTTATCAATGCCTTTTCCTTTGTCGATATTTTCCTCGATTTTATAGAATTCTCAAGCGACAATATGTCGGTTTTTAGCCTTTTTTTTTTTTTTTCAGATTTTATTTGGTTTAGGGAAAAAACAGCCTAAGGACCGTTCAAGATCCCCCGACTTTATTTAGTGTATTTTTAATGAAAGTTTAATTAATGAATGAAATGGCCAAATTGGAACTAAGCTTTGATTAAAGTTTGATTGCAAAATATATAAATTTTAATTCAATTAATTTATATAATTAATTTATAAAATAACATCTAATAAATTTTAAAATATTAAAATATTTATTTTTAAATTGCTAAATTTTATAAACAAATGTTTTTCATAAAAAAAAAAAGAAAATTTAATTTAATTGACTTCGTCAAGTTTCTAGATTATCTTTACCTTGACGAAGAAAAAGATCATGTTAAGTTTTGATTCAATCAAGTTGAATTTTTATTTAAAAAAAAAATAGTTGAATTCTTTTAAATTGCAATGCCCAAAATAAAAGACTATTTCAATGTTCAAATTTGTCCTGAATTATGAAGAATTTTTTCCTTTTTTAGATATTAAAATTTGTTATTGTACTTTTCTTTGAAATTAAAATAATTTTTTATTATCATATTTTAAATTTTATTTTGAATAAAATATAAATATAAATATTCAATACGTAAAAATATACACATAGTGTATCAAATTAAAAAAAAATTATAAAATTTAGGTTAAAATAAAAAAATTTTAAAATTTAACTCTTAAACATATTTTTTAAATAATAATAATTTATAAGTAAAAGGAAATACGGGACAATATAAAAAAATTAAATGAGAAAAAATAGGGAGAAAAAGCAAGTGTGAAAGGATTAAGATGACTTAAAAAAAAAAAAAAAGGGAATAGAATGGAATTTTTTTTTTATCGGATAAGGATTAGGACGGATATTAGATAAACATATTTTGTTATTGGATTATAGTCCAAGTTATACTTTTATTAGAATTTGGACTTCAATCTTTTTTTCTAAGGCTTTGTTTGATAAATTATTATAAATTTTGAAAATTTTAACATTTTAATTGTTTTCAATGTATTTGATAATACATTTTAAATTTCACTTAATTTTTTTTCAATCAGAAAGTGTTGATAAAGATAAGAAGATATAGATGCTTACCATTTAATGCAAAATTCATTCAGTAATTTTTTCTGTAAAATTTTTTTGAATTATTATTTCTTAAAAACACTATTTATTATTTATAATGAAAATAAGGGTAAAAATAAAATTTTAAAATTCGATATATTATAGTTATTAAATAATATATTTATATTCAATATTTAATTTGTTTTCAGTATTTAATTTTTAATAAAATACTAAATAATTTTTATAATTCAAATTCAATACTCATCAAATTTAGTATTAAAAATTTAATATTTAATATTTCAATTTATCAAACAAAACTTTAATGTTTATAGATATATTTATTTTATTTTTTGTTTAGTTTTAGGTATTTAAAGGATAAGTAAAAAACTACTGATGTTTGAATAAAATTTTTATTAATGTTTAAAGATTATAGATTCGAATGAATTTATCCATATAATATTATCTTTAATGAGAATTTTAGAAACATGTAAAAGTTATAAGATTGAACCAATTTAAAATATATATAATATTCTTTAACTTCAAAATATATATAATATTCTCTATAGTCGTAAGTATGAAAAACAAAGAAATTAAGAATAAATTAGACAATTAAAATAATGGAAAAGAAAAAAAGGGGGCATGAAAGTTCGTGCGGAAGTGGGAATATTAGAAACGAACTGCAATGAAAGCAAAGCACAGTCATGGTTCCAGAGAGAGACCCCACCTCGAATTCTTCCAATCTTTCTCAATCTAAACTCTCTCTTTCCCAACTTGTTTCCCTCTCTCTTGTTACCCCGTTCAAACTCTTCAAATACCAGCAAACAATGCCCGTTCCTTTCCTTCTCACCTTTCTCTAGTCTTTTTTTCTTTTCTTTTTTCTTTGTTGGGTCTTTCTCTTTTTCAAATTTCAACAATGGCAAAGGCTAATGCTGACAAGTTGAAGCGGTTAAGAGCTTGGGTGCAAAACTACGATTGGGGAAGATGTGGGAAGGATGCACAAGTGGCGAGGCTGTTGGCTTTGAATTGCGGGGCTAAGGTTGAGCTTGACAGGCCTTACGCTGAGTTGTGGATGGGAACCCATGACTCTGGACCAAGTTTTTTGGCTGATGATGAAGAAGAAAATACGGTTTTGAAAGAGTGGCTTGGGAAGAATCCAAATGTGCTCGGTCATAAGGTTTTGGAAAAATGGGGGTCTGATCTTCCTTTTTTGTTCAAGGTTTGCTCTTTCTTTTACTTGGATTTGTGTGCTTTCTCTGTTTTTTTTTCTTTTTTTCTTTTCTCCTTTGGATTAGTTGAAAATTGAGTTTTGATTTTTGTCTGTGTTTTTCTCTTTGGATTTTATTGGTTTACTGGGTTTTCTTTTTAAAGTTTTCTCTCTTAATAGGAATGGAAATTGAATTTTCGCTTATTTTTTTTTACCATTTTTTCGGTTTTAAGTTGAATGTAACTGAATTTTGATTTGATGTGGTGTTGGTGGTAGTTTAATCTTTCTTTAGTTATCTATAAGTTTAAATTTTAAATTTTGGGCGATTTTGATCCCAATTTGATTGAGATATTGGAATGAACCTTGGGTAGTTCGTGCTAAAGAATTAAGCTTGAGAGTTAAAAATGGATATCAACATAACTTTAACTACAGTATTAGTAAATTTGTCATTAATTTGTCTAATTTGGTTCAGTGGTTATGTCCGTGTGCTGTAATATAGGTACTTTCAGTGGCAAAAGCCCTGTCAATACAGGCGCATCCAGATAAAGAATTGGCCAAAGAATTGCATAAGTTGCAGCCAAACCTTTATAAGGATGGTAATCACAAACCTGAGATGGCTTTGGCAATAACAGAGTTCAGGGCCCTTTGTGGGTTCATTACTCTTGAGGTATTAAATTAATTGTGCTCAGTTTTTGGTGGAACTTTTATTTTTTTTTTTTTTTATATTGTTCTTCTGCTAATTGTCTCTTCTGAGAATGAAAAACCCTGTCCTTATGTTTGATTAAGCTCTCTCAGTAGATACACATGGTAGCCTTTAGTAATGTATCATCTATGCTGTCAAGTTGTAATCATGTTGAATAACTATTGGGGAAATGATATGCATGACCAAACTTCAGTCTGAATCGCATCGAAATTAGAGACAGAAGATAATTAATCATAACTTTCCATGAATATTACATCCACTGCCACTGTTTCTGGTTGGACTTGTTTTGGCCTATATAACTGGAAGGTGAATATGATACTTGCTATCAATTTGGTAAAATTTAATGTGTCACTGCACCAAAACGTTCTCATGTCTATTGATCTTAAAGGGATTTATTCATATTTAAAGTTTATTTTCTGTATATATAAGCTAATTATGATGCACCAGGACAGTTACTCAGGTCATCATATTTTGGAGAAGTTTGATACCTAGTCAAGCAATTTCACAGTGCTTCTGCATGCCTGAGGAAATAACCTTTTTTAATTGTGAAAAAACGCCCATCTTCAAGTGTCTCCTCAAACATATTTCTACTTATTTTCGGATATTTACAAATTATGTTTGAAATGTCTTGAAGACTATAGGTATTATTTTATGTGGTTTTTCCAAAACTTTCATGTTATTTGGTTTAGCTGAACTATGCTTCTTGTCTGTTTATTTATCATTTGCTTGCGATTCTATCAACTATAGTTATTTATTTGAAGTAAGTATCTATCTTCTTTGCAGGAGCTTAAGGGTGTACTTGAAGATGTTCCTGAAATTGTAGAATTGGTTGGCAGTGCATCAGCAAACCAAGTCTTAGATATTGACAACCGAGATGGGGCAGAGACAGTAAAATCTGCTCTGGAATCGGTTTTTACCCAACTTATGTCAGCTAGCAAGGAGATGACAACTAAAGCAATATCAAAACTGAAAAGTCGGCTGCACATTAAAAGTCAGGTCTGCAGAAATTTCATCATTATAGATTTTTTTCCATACTGCATGGAGGCATAAAACCGAGAAAGAAATCAGGAGTCATCACCTAGTTATGTTCCTTAGAAACATAAGCTGGACAGGGAGCATTGATGTGGTCCAGGGATGGCAACGGGTCGGGTCGGGGCGGGTTTTTGCTCGCCCCGAACCCGACCCGATTTTAAATATACAATACCCGTACCCGTACCCGACCCGAAAATTTTTTTATTTTTAATACCCGAAACCCGACCCGACCCGACAGTGTATAAAATCAAATCCGACCCGACCCGACCCGAAATTAATAAAATATTATTTTAAATATAAATATAAAATTAAATATATATAAAAATATATATAATTAAATGTAAAATTTAAAAAATAATTAAAAAATAAATTTTTTATATATATCGGTCGGGTAGGTCGGGTTTGCTTAAAACCCGACCCCGACCCGACCCCGAAATTTTTTTGACTCTACCCGACCCTACCCGACCCGATACCCGATTTTCAAAAAAAAAAAACCGACCCTAAGGGGTCGGGTCGGGTCGAAACCCGACGGGTTCGGGTGATTTTGCCCACCCTAATGTGGTCCTTCCCTTTAGAGTTCCTTCAGAAAATGACTGTTCTGAAGACTTGAAAATATGCTTTATATTAGTCTGTTTTAAACTTATGTGGGCATATGAAAAAAATGGCTCCTAACCAAATCTCTATTTTATTTAAAGAAAAACCTTCAACATCATGAGAAAATTTTTAATACTGACAATAACAAAATGATTTTCCTTCTAGGCTTTGATTTTGGAGATCTTCTGTTCTTTATCAGTTTACCACTTTAAGTTATAAATGTTATTTAAATACTTGAATGTATTGACATGAAAAAGTTCATCTAAATTTTCCCAATGGTCAAAAGCCTACATCATTGCTTATTCAGGCAGCTAAGTCGCAGGCTTAAACTGGTATGGTCAGCTTATTTTGCATAGTTCTATGTTGTTTCTGTATGAAATCAGCCCGGGAAAAATATGCTGCTGCATTATAAATTTGGTTGCAAAGAGTGCATGGTAGATTTTTTTTCTCTTTTCCCTTGTTGGCAAGAGATATCAGACTTTTCTAATAATTAATTCGTTCTATAATCTTTGATATATTATATTCTCTTTTTCTTTCCAGCTTGTAAAGTTGTTAAATAGTAGCTGTTCTGTATAGTTTCTCTTCCCTCCTTTTCTCTTCTAGCTATGTTCTTGACCTTTCTATGATAACACTGTTACTCTTTATTTCTTTTTCTTGCATCAGTTGAGGTGTCTCACAGAGAAGGAACAGTTGGTGTTGCACTTGGAAAAGCAATATCCAGGTGACATAGGTGTCATATCTGCCTTCTTTTTCAATTATGTGAAACTTAATCCTGGTGAAGCATTGTATCTTGGGGCAAATGAGCCGCATGCATACTTAAGTGGAGAGTGCATCGAATGCATGGCAACTTCAGACAATGTTGTCCGGGCTGGTCTTACCCCCAAGCATCGCGATATTCAAACTCTTTGTTCCATGCTAACATATAAGCAGGTACAAGTATTTAATCGAGGTTTTAAACAGAAGTTCCGAACCTGTAACTTAACTTAGTTGATTCATGCAATCACCTTTTAAAAGGTGACATTTAGCAAGTTTAGAGTTTGAATCTTAATACTTGTATCCCTTTCTTATATTATACCTCCTTTGTTTAAAAATAAAAAAAGTAACTGAAGTTCCGAAACTTCAAATTTTGATTCTTGTTTATCTGATCCAGGGCTATCCCGAAATCCTGAAAGGGTTTCCATTGAGTCCGTACATAACAAGGTATCTCCCACCCTTTGACGAGTTTGAGGTTGATCGTTGCATTCTTCCGAAAGGGCATTCAACGGTTTTCCCAGCCATCCCTGGCCCTTCTATTTTCCTCATCTTTCTTGGGGAGGGAACACTGTATTATGGATCATGGGAAGATATGGTTAATGAAGGAGACGTGCTCTTTGCACCAGCCAAAACTGAGATTACCATTACTACGACATCTGAGCTGCAGCTATACAGGGCAGGGGTGAACAGCAGGTTCTTTCACGCCTTGTGAATTTAGAACAGAGCCGCAGCCTTCAGCCCTAGCGAGTAAATAGTATATTAATTATTTATTTTTGCATGTATCTATGCTATTTTTTGCTGCCCTTTATTGTAATTTTAGGACATGCAAATATATAGTAAAAGTTATTAGTATTACCACTATAATCTGACGGTTCAGACCCACTTTTTTGTTGCAGTATTATTTTTTAATTTTTAAAATTATATTTTAAAAATAAAGAAAGTAAAATTTTTATGTTAACTTTTAATGGAAGATAATATATAAGAACCAGCAAAATTTAACAGAACAAAGATCTAGAGAGATATGGAAATGAGCCATTAATATCCCTCGAACTTAGTGAGAGGATTCATGGGAGAGCCAGATGAGATGAGCCCAGGACGTGGTGAATTTTATGAATATCCATATTTTTGTATCTGCAAAAAGCCACTCAGTGATATTATTGACAACAAGAATGGAGAACTTTAGTAAAAAAAAATCGAGTGTTGAGGAAGAGAGGCAAGAAAGAAAAGCCAGTTTTAGGACCCAGAAAGATTTCCGGATTAAAGGGGAAAAAAGGATGTTGCAGACGGATTTCATCATGACCAGAATTTGTTTTTCTATTGATTGACAATGATCTAACATAATGATGCGTCTGCCAAGTGTCTTGTCATCTTTTATCACATCGACAGAAAATTTGAAAGAACATTGCCATTTGAGCCAAAATACAGGCGGACATTGATCTGGTTTCCTCTCAGTTTCTTTGGCTGGATCCAAGGAAGAATTGAATCTTTGTACGAGGAAACGGAAGTTAAGAAATTGTAACTGTTCATATACACATATATAATAGGCATGTAGTTAGGATAAAGAACGATACTTGAGTATGTTTTATTTGGATTATATTTAATTATAGTGTTAATGATCAATTTATTTAAAACATTATTCATAAATCATGATTGGAAATTTCAAACTGGTGAAAATAGACGGATACCCAAAAAAATATATAACTTAAAAAATAAAAATATTATCTTTCTAACTTAACCCATAAAATTTTTCTCATTTTCCTACACTTTCTTAGCAATCAAACACCTAAAATATAATCAAATAAAAAATCCAAGATATTATTTTTCTTTTCAAACTAAACTCGTCATTTTCTTTTTCTTTTCCCATACTTTCTTAACGTTCAAATACCTAAAAAATTTATTAAAAAAAAACTCCAAATCAAAAAATGAAATTATATATTATATAATCAATCCCAAAGAGTCAATCTTAAAAAACAAATCCAAACCCATAAAATAACCAAACTCAAAAAACCAAAGATATTGTCTTCCTTTTCAAAATTAACCCACCATTTTCCTGTCATTTTCTCACACTTTCTTAACATCCAAACACCCACAAAATATATCAAAGAAATAACAAAAAACAGTCACAATAAAAAAGAAATACTCAATAGCCAATAAAGAGTAGGAAACAATGAAATTGAGATTGAGATTATCAATAACCTATAGGGGAAACTTTGGAAAAAAAAAAAAAAAAAACAAAACAAAACCCAAAAATAACTCGGTTAGAAACTTATAGATTTTGGAGAATACGTGGATTTTGATCCACAAGCGAAACGTTAGATTCAAGTTTTAAAGAGACAAGAAGTTAAGAGCGAGAAAAGAAGCACCAAAAGCGTGGATTTAAAAATCAAGCAACTTGCAGGAGTAAGAAGAAAATGCTTTGAAGAACTATTTGTAAGATAGATTTGGGTTTTTGGGTTTTTTCTTGAAAATATTTAGCGTAATGTTTGATGTTTCTGTTTCTTTTTTTTTTAGTTCATCTGAAATATTTAAGAGCGTTTTTTAAACAGATGAAAAAGAACTTAGCGGTTAATATTTGCCTTTAATGGGTATTGCATCACACTTTGGTTATGGAGTCCTTGTTTTGAGCAAAATTAAAAAATTGTTTAACCTTAAATTGAGCGAAAATAAAAATTTATTATTTATTCATAAAATAGTCAACGTTATATTTTAAAATTCAACATTTAACTTTATACTGTTTGCACATAGTTAAAATAGAACACTTTAAACTCAATATCGATTTACCCTTAATTGATTAATAGACAAAATTTATTTAATTTTACTTAACAAATATACTTATTGGATCATAACAAATTAAAACATATCAACATAGATTTATTTGTCATTTTTACATCCCATTAATTTTTTGTTTACAAATTTATTTAATAAATAAAATTTAAAAAAATAAGAGAAAAGACATAAAAAAATCAAAATGAGATAGTCATATGAATTTATTAAAATTAAATATTAAATAATATTTTTAATAAAAAAATATATAAATAAAAATTAAAAAATAATAATATTATTTATATATACCGAAATCGAAACATAATATTCAAATCTTACTCTTACTTAAATTCGATTTAAAAAAAAAATTCAACTCGAATTATCTTGAATTTTTTAAAAAATGCACTAATTAAATTGAAACCTATAATATATATATATATATATATATATATATATATTATTTTGTTATCTGAATCTCAATTGATTTTATTATAAAATTTATCTAATAAAAAAAATAAAAAAAATTAAAAAGGTAACCCAAAAATGTAAAAACTTAAAAAAACAAAGAAAATGAAAAAAAAAAACCAAAAACAAAAGGAGGGGGGCGCACGTGAACATCTGAGATAGAACAAAATACTTGAAATCCATCTCTAACTTAATCTCATTTTCAAATAAAAATCTTGATTTGATGTTGATATTTTTAAAAAAGCATCTACTTTGAATTATTACGAATCAAAATTAATCAGATTAAAATTATTTTATCATATTTAATCGTTGACTTGTTTTTGCAAAATTTTTTTAAAAATTAAAATAAAAAATAAAAAAAATAGAGAATGGATAAAAGAAGGGTGCCATGTGGACGCTTTCTTATTCCTCATCTTCTACAACTTCACGTATATAGGCTAGAATTATATCCACATTTCGCTAGGGATAATTTTTTATTTTTGTAAATTTTGTTTTAATTACGAGAGAAGTAAATTTTTGATGCAAAATTTTAATGGATAACAACAAATAAACAAATATAAGTGTAATTATTAATATAAATTATATATAAATGTAATTTTAACTAAATTAAGGTATTAAATAATTTTTTTATTAATATAACATATATAAATTAAATTAAATTAATAATAAAATATTTTTTTATATACCCCAAAAAAGGTCAAAGTAGAGCTCTTCAAACCCAATCTTAAATTGATCTAAATTATTCGAAGAGACAAAATTTAACCCAATCCTTATTAAAAGAAATTGCATCGATTGGATCATGATGAATTGAAATCAATCAGATATAAATTGTTTTGTCATTTTTATATTTATTTATTTATTTTACAAAATATATTTAATAAATAAAACTTTAAAAAACAAAAAAAAGAATGATAAAAAAATCAAATGGAATGACACTTGAATTTATTAAATTAAGATATTAAATAATAATTTTTAATAATACATATAAAATATAAAATTAAATAAATAATATATATATATATATATAATGGTTGAGATATAACATCCAAAATCTTATCATAACTCGACTCGATTTAAAAAAAAAATTCAATCCAATTATCCTAAATTAAAAGAAAATACATTGATTAGATCAAAACGAATCAAAATTCATTGAATATGAATTATTTTATTATTTTTTATATCAATTGACTTTTTTATTATAAAATTTATTTAATAAAAAGTAAAAATTAAAAAAAAGACCCAAAAAAAAAAAAAACTTAAAAAAAAAAAGAGTTAGATGTCATATGAATATTTGAGATGAGACAAAATGCTTTCAATTTATTTCTAACTAAAATATATTTTTAAAAAGAATCTCGATCCGATCTCCATTAAAACAAAAAAAAAAACTTATATTGATTGACTAGCTAGAATCATTTCTAAGTAAATATGAATTCTTTTATTATCCTTATCTCTTATAAAATTTATTTAATAAAAAAATAACTAATTAATAAATAATAAATAATAAATTTAATAAAATAATAATAATAATAAAAAAAGAAAAGAGGAAGGACGAGACATGAAATTGAATGTAACAAAGTTTGTTAAAATCTCAATAAATGAGTTGCTGTCAGAACCTTAATAAATGCCTTGTCATAACAAGTGTTAATGTTAAATTATGGTATTTAATGAGATGCCCAAATTTTAAAAATCAGAATTTTCAATACGAGAATTAAGTTATGAATATATTAATTAATTTGACAAGTTTTAATATGAATATCAGATTAATTAATTGATTCATAATTTAAAAATATTAAAAATTTTAAAATTCAGATATCATATTAAATATTTTATTATATATAATTTAAAAACCATTCGTAACATTATCCCAAAACAAAAACTTAGTTCAAATCTAGGAACTTCATTTCACATATGTAATTTGGTAAACATTCATACGTGATTAAGTAAAAGTAAAATTAAGTAAAAGTAACTAAAAACTTATGCCAGTACTGTGTATATTTTGTTAAAATGAGTGATTCTGGATGCTAAATGATGCAGGGGACAAATTCAAATGTGGCACAACTGATGGAGAAATGGGCAAGAGATAGACATGGAGAACAGAATTGCTTCCACTCGACATAGCCACTTTGACTGCACTTTTGGCCATTACTTATTGTTAGCCATAAGGCACATGAATATGCTTCCTATCCTACCTCACTTCCCTCAAATCAAATCTGTTTCCAGACAAGCGGCAAATGTTTCATCTACTTTCCTGCATGTTACATCTGTTTGTAGTTAGATGTCAATTGTCCTAATGAAAATTATCACTATTAATTTCACAAAAGATTTAATGTATTTCCTTGTGAAGTATTTTGTCAAATTATGATTTTAACTTGGCTTTAATTTGGCCACTTTACTTACCAATTCCTCTCATTCAACTTGATACTTGCGTTTGCTTCACGGTTTCTTTGAGTGATAAAGAGTTCTGAAAAGCTTAAGGAATTTGCAGATCATGTATGGACATTGAAGAATCCTGTGCTCTTCTTCTGTTCTTCACCCACCTTTATATAGACTGATTTGATATTCTCAGGTATAAATCAACTTTGTCTAGTGGCTGCAAACCATTGAACTAACCTCTTCTAATCAAGATTTAAAATGGAAAAAGTTGCCAATTAATAAGACAAG